CTGGCAATGGATTCTGAGCTCAAATACGAGCATGCCAGTTTATTTGAAGAGTGTGTCCCCCACCCTCAAATCCTTTCTATGGGACTAATCATGTCCTTAAAAGCTGTGCGCTCAGCTGTGCTGAAATATTTTAAGAGATCAAACTCGCAGGCTTCTCAAAGGGTGATCCAATGTTAATACTAAAAACTAAGGTAGGAAGAAGAAATGACGTTTTGGTTTTTACATCCTTCAACAAGAGCTGGAATAAAGGCACGCAGTACTGGCTTCTAGTTCTTCTAGTTCCCAGTAAACACTGCCTTCCAGATCTTGCCAACAAGTTTCTTTTCCACTGATCCAAAACCAAGAGATGCCATCGCAACCGAATGTCTCCACCCTCCATAAAGATGGTCTCTGTGACAACTCTGTATAAGCCTTGCAGTGATAAGAAAACTAAAAGATGTAAAACTGATGCCCCAACAGGCAAAGAAATACTTGCTAGTTCTTTAAATAGCTTCCACCTTTTAGATGTTTTCACGTCGCGCTAATATACGAGTACACCCACACGTGCCGTATTAAGACCTTCATCAGGTATATAAAATACTGAATGTTAACTGAAACCCCAGCTAAACATGCCCACGTATCACATGCACTCCAGGCCTTGCATAGTTATGGTATGTACTACTAGCAGAGCTTTATCTTTGCTCTTTCACTCTCATTACAGGCCCACCTCAACGGCTGTCCAGACAGAGCACAAAGGGGAAAACCACGTACACTGCCTATACTCAGCCTCTTTCTCCCTTAGTTTTTTTTATAGGTATGCAGTGAGCAGGAAGTGTTACTGTGTATAGAAGATAAGATAACTCCCATCTCATCTCTGCTACAGGCTGCTGCTGTGCAGTGCAATGTCCAGGTTAATTCACAGAAAATGTAAACTACATTTTTTGGTAACTGTATTTAGTTTCCACAATGAGAATCCTTCATTCAATAAACAGGAGTCAATTTAAAGGACTTCATAGTTCAAGGCCTTCAAAATGGGGGGGGAGTTTAATTCCAGTGCTTTAAACTTTAACCCTGCTAACAACTTAAAGTTCACATTGTACCTTTCAGCTGGACTGGATCTTCCTATTAGTTTCCCACCTAAAAACATTTGGGAAACTTTGATAATAAACACTTCCTTTCTTTGATAATAAAGGCTTCCTTTTTTTCCATCCTCAAACAGCCTTTCACAGCGTGATCATCTGTGTTGTTTGGTGATGGAGGTCTTGCCACAGTGAAGTGGAATTCAGTCATGCACATCTGGCCACAAGAGCCTCAAGAGGAAGGTGGATGGGACATGACCTTCACACGTAGCAAAGGACCGAAAGGTTGTCTTTGAGGTAACTATCAAGATCCTGGTTGAAGATGAGAATTACTCACGTGGGGGCACAGACACACTCAGATCAAGAGAGTGCAAGAAGAAGTGAGAGTGAGGAACCTATACTATGACGAGTTTCACTTCACTGGACATCTGGAAAGAACTGAAACAGTGTGTGGAGTTCTCCCTCCTACATGCTCACACACCAAACATGAAAAACAAGCAGGATGTATGCATAGCTCCACGGTGACTGCAAGGCCAAAAAATCATCTGGAACACTGTAAATATCCAGGCGGACTATCCTATGGAAGAAGAATGCATAACACGATAAAACTGGAAGCACAGATTGACCTTTGCTGCTAAAGATATGGAAGTTTCACAGAAATAGTCTTTGATTGATCTTTCTTACAGCTTTCCGATGATCAAAACGACATCATGCAACAAAGCACGTGATCTGTCATAGCCTAAAGGCCCCCAGAACTCTCCCAAGCCCCAAACCAGGCCAGAGGAAATGGCAGATAGCTGTCTTTTCAACAGCAGAGCCAACCCATTGTGAATTTGCAAAATGTCCCACTTGTCCAACCTCCAGACTGACCTGCCAGACTTTGATTAGCTGCTTCCTTCCATATTATCACCATTAGCAACGATCATATATGGAAAACATTATACCAGCAGCCATCAATTACACCATTCACAGTACTCAAACCTAACATACTTGAAAACTGGATACAAGATAAATTTTACTCGGCATAAAAGCAATGTAAGGTTTCATACCAGGTTTATATTAGGTTCTGTGTTGCCTACTTACAGGCTTACGGCTTGTACTGGTCAAGGGGGAAAACCAAAGCATGATTCATTGCTTGCGACTCCTATCACCTGGTGTAATTCCACTTTAATCAATAGAGCTAAATGACCATGACAATGGAGCAATGCAGACACGCACACTCCACATGTTTAAAGATTCTGTGATGCTGTGAAAGATCACTATCGTCATCTCCCGTGGCCTCTATTAAACGCATAACCCCTGCTGCATCTCAAAGCAGCACCCTTTGGAAATAGAAACTCCAGAGACTGATATATTTGCCTGACCCCTTTCTGCCATCATATCTGAGTACACCTTTTCCGCTTTTATACTTATGACACCTCTGTGTATCAATTCCTATCTCCCAGGTGAAGAATTATGGCAAGAGCAGCATGACTCCCTACCCATCTCAGTCATAGTGCAACAATTGGAAGTTCATACCATTTTAAAGGTATCTAGACACCTGAATGAATTACTTAATCCAGATGGTACAAGAATCCGTGCACAAGAATGGGGGTCTCCCCATTCTTACCAGTGGCCTTAGTCCCAGGTATGATCATTTTTTCTCACAGCTGATAGCAACTTCTAGCATAACAGCTGATTACATACCAGCAGTAAGCAGGAGCCCTCTGCCTGCAAAATTCCTGGGAATCCCAAGCCATTCATCAGTTTGTAACATCAGAGGTTTTGCCGGACCATCAAACCTCTGTGATACTTGCACAACCACCACTTTACTCTCCTGCAGATCCCAATGCGATCGATGTATTCTTTGTGTTTTACAGTATGAAGTGAGACAGACTACATATGAAAAATGCCTGAAGGCAAAAGCAGTTTTCTTTTCAAAACCACTTGCTCAGATATGAGAAATCTACGGGAATCAGACAAGCATTCATAGTATAATGTAGTTTATATTCATGTTACAACCACAAAACCAAACACCGTGACTGACAACTGTCTTCAGTTAAAGGCTTAAGTTATCAGGAACAGCAGGTAAATTTACCATTTATTTTTTGCTGTTCCTTTGTCACTGGCTTCTATCCATAAAGTCCATATGTTATTTGAAGCTTTTTCTATATTGGGTCTCACTGGACTAACATTAAAATAATTTGCCTGTCATTTACCCATCAGATATTTACACAAGCCATATTTACTACAAAAGTCCACAAACAACAACAAAAAACCTGATATGCTCACATTCTTTACAAGATAGATACCAAGACCCACTTCATTTTACTTTAGATACCTAATAAAAACATTCCAATCATCTTATTGGCGTTAACTGACATGGGTTTATCTACCCTTACAATTGCAAATAAAACATTACAAGTGACAGAAGAATGCTGTACTAGAATGGTGGGGTTTTTTTTTGTTTTTTTTGTTTTTTTTCGCACAGTCTTGTTTTGCTGTTCCTTTTGGCCTGTCCTCTCCTCTCTTTTCAGCTATTAGCAAAACCCTTATGACTGTGCCTACCAGTAAGACTAGAACAGGCAGGCAGCAATGCTACAGAGTCCATGCTGAATAAAAGGTCATGGAAACGGTTGGGAAAATACTCCTATCAGAGCTGTACGTAAAACAGCCTTCCATGCTGCTGTCCAAATATGATGTCCCTAAAAGATTACATGCCACTCCACAAATGAAATTAATTCCCCTGCTGACAGACTTGCTATCCTACTACTACTGTACTTAGCAAAAGATGGTACTTTTTCAGGACTCTGGTCCTGCACACCACTTAAACAGTTGTTAAATGTTTAGTGAGACTATATGTAAATGCATAAGTTCTGCTGAAACGAGCAAGAGAACTTTGCTCTTTCCATAACGGACCAACAGTTTGGCTACTAAAAATACAGCGGCCTGACTCTCCCTTGCTTTGTTGCACTTCACTCAGCCATTAATACCCAAGTTATGAATATCTGTGACAGTAACATGTAAAGTCTATTTTATGTCCACTTATCCCAGTGATAAAAAGGTTCAAACACAGGAAGAATCATGTTTCCACTATATGCCTTTCAGAGCTGGTGACATGTAAATTAACCAGCTTTGAACACATACCATAGCAGGCACGTGAGTTCATAAACTGCTACCTAAAATGGAATGCTAGCATAAAACTCTTAATTGTAGCAGTCTTGGAGGACAGCAGGCTGAAAAATGGATTCCTCATTACCACAAAACCAGAAGGACTCCATGTTTCTCATTAGAAATAATTTTTTGACACAAGTTGTTGACCACATCTGGCTGAAAAGCAGGAAAATGTGATTCAAGGTCCTAATAATTCTTTCAACTAGTTTCAGAAATAGAGCTTTTCTGTTTATCTCATGCTCTACACAGTGCTCCTGGACTCCTCCCTAAATAAGCTTTTGGCTAACAGAGCCTTAAGCACCGATGGGTCTCTGGCCTTATTTAGCAGGCATTCTCCGAAGGCATCGCTGTCTGATTTTATAACATTTGATTCAAATGGTTCAGTAACTTGGCCGGAACACGTAACCCATTTTCTCAGTGCTTGGTTCATTAGCAAAGCTCGTGTTTATTAACTGCATACTAAATCTGCATAACATTTAACTCCTCTATCGCTAATTATCTGTCTTAAGTAGGAATTATTTATGAATAATAAAAAACGATCAATTACCGATTTCCTCTCTTGTTTCAGCTCCTGCACGTAGCGTGTTAACTCTCCAGTGATGAGAGAGGTCATGTTCTCAGAAATGACTTCATGCTGTCCGGCGTAGTCATTCATTTCATTTAAAGTGGCTAGGAAGGCTCTCGTTGATGTATACCTGCGGAGGACAAAAATGCATTTTGCTTTTAATCCCTCTGTTTTCAGGAGATGCACACTGCAAAGGGAAGCTGCATCCTTCTTAAGCACTTAGTATTGCTGCATGAGACTGAATATGGATTAACATAGATTGATTTGAAGGAATTTCCCAAAAGGAAACCTACCTCATTCACTAACAGTTCTCTGATAAATTAATCTTGATATAGACATAGTTTGATATTGGCTAATAGAATAACACACTTTTAGAGTGCCAGGTGTTTTTATCAGCACAGCTCTGGGACTTTACTATTCTAAACTCTACTCACCAAATATTTTCTAGTTGTACTTTTTCAAGACCTACAATTCAGTGCACCCTGCTTGACAAAATCTGATCTAAAAACCCCTAATATTTGGCTAGTACAGCACAAAGAAGAGATCTTTCCAAAGCGTCACGTGGATTGAGATTAGCTACAACTTACTGATAAAAATTTCAAAAAGATACAATACGTTTACTAGCTAGGTATTCATCGTCAATCCATGAATTTTAGTATCTCCCACTGCAAGGTTTATTTTTCATATAAAATAATCTCCAAAACAACATTCCAGGTTATTATTAAAAGGAAGAAATTAACATCTGTGCACACAATTTCAAAGACAGTGGATTATGCTCCTGCCATACATGGCGCTGACCGAACAGAACTCCATTTTAATACCCCAGGACAGCTTGCTGTACTGGTCAACAGGAAGAGAGCAGCTTTGAAGCACTGCATTTGCCCATACAAGAAAAACTTAATATTAGATGCTGGCAGTTTGCACTATTAGCAGCACTTAAAGGAGAAAAAGCAAAGCAAAGGCAGAGAGATGTAGAGAAAATAGAGTGGTATGAGTGGGGATGGACAAAGGCATTAGAGAAAAGCAAAACAAAAAACAACCACAAAGAGAGACCAAAAATATAATCCAATATAAGCAGCCACATTCATAGTCAAGCTACGCTCTTCTCAGGAGAAATCTCCAGCTGCAAAAAATATGAGAAAAAAGCCATAGAAGCCACAGACTGAACAAGCTTGAAAACGCATCATTTTTAGACAATCTAAACGTAGACAGTGTTCCGAGGTACCCAAAGGTTACATGACAAACCACCAGCCATTATTTACAGGCATTGTGGAAACTATAATGGGGTGAACAACGTATTTAACAGGGCAAAGGATACACAGGATCGGCTGCGCCACATCCCATGGATCATTTAACTCCGATATCCTTTTTCCAGCAATGACAGATGTGTCAAAAAAGACTGCAGTAAACTCAAAATACCCATTTATAGCATAGCTACCCAAAGGGAGATTTTTTTCCCCCTAATCCCAGGTATAGCTCAAAACAGCTGCATGTGCTGGTAGGATATTCTTCCTAAATAACCTTTTGCACAACCGTCTTTATTTGGACACATATCCCTATAATACATAAGCTTCCTTGTGTAAATGGCAACATCTCAAGAAACAATGACATAAATAGCTGATTCCAAACAGTGTTACAAAAAATAAATTAAAGAAAAAAAAAAAGCTAAGCTTAGTTAACATGAATCACTAGAGCAGCCGTACACAGCAGCTGGTGGGTCTGACCCAAAAATCTAAATTAATATAATCATACAGTTGGACCCAAATCCAAACTCATTTGAAGAAGTTTTTTAAATTTCAGGGTAAAGGGCTCAAGTGTGCTGCCAGGCTCTAAAGATACAAAACAGCCTCACACAATATAAGGCTCCCGAGTTGGAATCTTCTGCAACTCCTTCTCCCAAGCTGATGCATTACCAAACACTGAAGTTGAGTAACTTTAAAGAAGTCAGAGTGCTCTAAGTAAAAGGTTACAACTGTGGCTAACGAACAGTCCCTTTGGAAAGCTCCTCTCCTAAAAAGCTGTCCTAAAGACCATCTTTGCTCTCATCACAGGAGGGTACATTCTTTAAGACATGTACTCTGTCATCGTCTGTATGCATTTCTCTAGCGTCAGTCAGTGACGGAGCTGTGCTTTGACACTGCTGTCGCTATCTGTAAGCGCTACGTTAGCCCCCTGCCACCAGGGAGACGCGCTCTGAATACTTAAGTCAACAGCAGAGAGCTGAGGCTGCCTCCTACGGCAGCAAGTCATGCGGTGACCCATTCCAGGATTCTGGAAGTGCAACTACGTCCCTTCACCTTATTCTTCAGGAATCAGCACTTTCTCCTGAGGTGTCAAAACATTATCCCTTCAGCAAGTTGCTAGTTTGTGCTGTCGTTCCTTTTGAGTAATTTAATACCTA